AACCTCACCTGGGATCCCGCGCCAATGTTGGTGCGAACGTTCACCTGCTCCGCCGAAGCTCTGCCTGCCCTCAGTGATGACCTGGTTCTCAATCGCATGCTGGTCGAAGGCGTGATCTGTGTTGCGATACAAGGTCCTCCTGGCAACGTCAGCGACGAAGCCGGTGCTGGCGATGTCGGTTTCCTCGTCAAAGGTGGGGCACGTGGTGTACACATCCTTGCCGCAGTCCAGGTTGTGATCGAGCTTCTGGAAGCACTTGTACATGCTGGTGGACAAGGTGTGGACGAAGAATTTCGTGGCGCAGGGGTCGCCCGGCAAACAACCAGGCCTGGCCCAGACGTCAGTGGCCGCCTTCGGGCAATCACGATCCTCGAACCTCATGAGGGCGTTCGTGAGGCGTTCGCGTACAGGTTACCAGTCGAAGGCGCGAGTCATCTCTGAAGCTGCTGGAAGGAGGCTGTTCCACTTCACTCTGTAGAGCGCATTCATGGTGTCGTGGAGCCTGGTAGTATATAGAGGATCGTCCTATCTTGCGCAGTCTGTAGGTGCCCACGAGCTGCGTGAGCATAACGCCCTCCCGTCGGCGGCCAGGCAACCCCTCGTGTGCCCGAGGCTGCACATGACCATGATGGCTCTCTCGCCCTTGCGACCTGGCGGCGCATTCGCCCCTTCTTTCGGCAGCTGGATGGCTCGAGCTCGATGCCGTGCCAACGGCGTGCTTCTCGTAAGGCGACATCGCAGCATGAGCATGAACATCCAGTGCTTCCACTTCGGGCAATCAATCCTCTGCTCCTGGTAGCCGAGTCCAGATCGTGTGAGAAGTCTGTAGACCCAATTCGGGCTCATGAGTATCGTCGCCTGGGACTGACCATTCTGGCCACGCGCGCCAGCTCCGCAAGTTCCATACACTCTCGTACAACCCCTGAATGTCCTGCTTCGCCAGCGCGAGAGCGGTCGGGTGGTAGAGTGGCAAGTGTTGTGGTCTACTGGCCACCCGCTCGCTGAAATCAATGATCTGCTCATCGGCGCCTCCCTCAGGACCTGGTTGCAGCATGCGTTGTGCCCACGCATGGGCGCCAGCCTTTGCCCGCGTCGATAATGTGTACTTGCGCTGCCTTGGTCCTCCCCCAGTGCCTGCGATGAGCCGTGAGATCTTCCAAGTAAGGTAGGTGTTGCCCTGGCGTCGCGCTGCGTAGAGCTCGTCCAGGCGTTGCTGGTTGAGGTCGTTCACGTACTGTTTCTTCGCCCGCTTCCAATGGCAGGAGATGCCTCCGAACTCGATCACCATGTCCTGGCACTCTGTCCAGAGCTGGTCCGTGTCGCGCTGCATGCGCTGATCGCCCTGCTCAGTCAGACGTTCCTTGAGCTGCCGTCGCTGCCGGAGGAGCTCCCCAAGCCGTTCGCGTAGCCGCGGAAAGCGTGAAGACCACGGAGACTCCTTGAGGAGTGGAAGCGCCCCATCCCGGATGCACTCCATGAGGACCTCATTGAGGCGATCGGTAGTAGTAGGTAGGCATCTGCGCTGCGACGAGCAGGTCCTGGTCCCGTTGGCGTAGCTGTCGTTCCACTGCTTCTACGACCTCCCCTCGGCGATGCCCACGCAGCAAGCACGCTGCCTTTGCCTCTGGGTGCCACGAAGCCTGTGTTGCACTCTTGCTCGGAGGTGGTGGTGCATGGTTGAGTCTCACCTGCACTGGTCTGTGGTCCAGGGGCCTCTGCGTGTCCACGAGCTGCAGCTGCCGCCCCTTGCGCTCGAGAACAGTCTGCATGACCACCCACTCTTCAAGCCTTTGTGATAGGATGATGCGGTCGATGTGGCTGGACCCGCTGTTGCCGACGAAGGTCGGCGGCGTGGGCGCCAGGGATAATGGAGGATGACGGTTAATAAATGACCGGGGGTCGTGTTCACGCGGCGGCGCCCGGGATGACGATTAGAAAAAACCGGCCGCGGGCTGGAAAAGTATGTTTTAATCGTTCTCCTCCACTCAGAAAATTATGCAGAAATAGCAGAAAGCTATGTTTTAATCACTCTCGCCCATTTTTTATTTTCACGGTACCACCCAACTCCACTTCACACACAGCTCTCTCGGGGCCGTGGCGGTCTCCTGTTCCGCCCTCGGGTTCGCAGTGCCAGCCACCGCGAGCTGCTCTGGGGCATCCACCGCCTGGTTCGTGTCCTTCTGCAGCCCGAAGCCGTCGTTGGCGTCTGTCAGGATGACGACAGTGTACCTGGGCCCAACGAGCTCCACGACGCCATCTATCCAGTTCTTGAGGCGCTGCACTGTTTTGATGTGGCGCGGTATCTGAGCTGCTGTGCGTGGCCGTACCGGGAAATATTTGGTGAATGTCAGAAACCGATGACCTCCACGATGAACTGTGACGGCTCCAGCCCGCCCCTGGAGAATGCCTAGTGGCTGGAAGCAAGCTTCTCTGGACGTCGTTAGACCCAAACCTTCCCTTCCTCAACCAAATCTCCACTCCTGCAGTCTTGTTGGTGAGCGCGCAACCCCCATACCCCCACTGCACCTGCCAGAAGTGCCTGCCCCGGCGCATGGTCACCTCCTCTTGTCCAGCTCGCTGCTGCGTGCCCTGCAGGCCAACGATGTCCTTGGCCCGTAGCACGTCGCCTACATACTCGCGCCTCCCCACCGCGACGATGCTCTGCACGTTGTAGCTGACGATGGTCCACTCCTGGGCCATCCCTTGTGCGACGGGCCAGGGCACGAGAGGGAGCCAACGCTGCCAGGACCGCGCCGCGCCAGGCCTGGGGGGCAGGCATGCGCTGTTCGCTGTGGGGTTACAGTATGGTGTTCGCCACCCCAGCAAAGCATCACCTTGTGCCGCGTGGGCTGAGGAGGAGGAGGAGGAGGAGGAGGAGGAGGAGGAAGAGGAGGAGTGGAGGAGGACGAGGAGGAGGAGAGAGGAGGAGGGGGAGGAGGAGGAGGAGGACGACGACGAGAGGACGACGAGGACGACGAGGACGAGGACGAGGACGAGGACGAGGAGGAGGAGGAGGAGGAGGACGAGGACGAGGACGAGTAGGACGACGAGGACGAGGACGAGGACGAGGAGGAGGAGGAGCTAGGAGGAGGAGGAGGTGGAGGTGGTGGAAACCAGGCCCACCACGGCCGCAGCGGCGCCCCCCCCGGCAGGTCGACGACCCGGCGGGCCCGCGGGCGCCCCGCCCCGCGGTGCTGCTCGGTCGCCCGCGGGACAGCGACGAGGCGCCCGACGCCGGCGGGCCGCCCGAGGGGAAGGCCCGATCTCGGGCGAAAGGGGGGGATGGGGAGAGGGGGAGTTATCGGGGGTGGACAGACCTCCCACCCTGACACGTCGATTAAGGAATTGGCCGTTTTCGGTTCGCGAGAGGGTGTCGCGGCCGTTATTTTTGTGGGTCCAGGTCCGTCGGTTTCGGTCCCAGGCCGTTTTCACTAAGGGGAGGTCTAATAAAGGGAGTTTTGTCCACCGCCGAGGTTACGAAATTTGCTGCATGCAGCTGGTTTCGGCCTCACCGCGGGGGCCATTCCTCGATGCATAGCTGCTTCCGGCGCCGGGAGGCGCCGGGAAAGTCAGCCACGTGAGCTGATTCTCAAACCCCCCTTTGCTACCCCCCCTTGTGCCCGACCCGAAAGGACCGGTCATGCGACGCGCCCGCCAGCCCAGACCAGGCGCGGCCGACGCTCGGAGGGGCCACAGGACTATTTTTTATGTTGATGAGATTTCCGACAAAGGCATCTATACACCACCACCGTGCCAGGGCAGGGCCATCCTGGGCCTTGGGATGGTGTATAGAGCCTCCTGGCCTCGGCCAGGAGGGCGTATACACCATGCCGGGGCCAGCATGGTTCTAGCTTGGCACAGTGGTGGTGTATAGATGCCTCCTGCGTAAGATTTGTGCTGTTTCTGGTGTTTGTTATTTTTTCCTGGTTTTCCAGAAGATCCGCTGTGCCACAAAAGAACAAAACGAGAACGAACGGTTCCGGAGCGGTCCAGAACCGTTTCGGAGCGTTCAGGAGCATTTCGAGAAGGCCGCGGCGCCCGTGAGATGCTCGAGGGCCGCCTGATCTCAGAGGTTCTCGAGTTGTCCTCGTCCTGGCTTCGTCGTACATCTTTCCAGGCATCCCAGATGGCGTCCTGCGGCTGGAGGAGCGCGCCGCGTCGCGGATGCGTCGGCGATGCGGCTCGATGAGGAGCCCGATCTTCTCCGGTGCATCGCCGATGCATCGGCGATGCATCGGCAATGCCTTGGCGATGCTTCCGACCCCATCTATTCCAACCCCATCTCGGAGAAACGGCATTCAGATAAACTTTCGAAGCTCCTCGCGGAATTCTTGGACCTGCGCTGTAGCCCCTTGGCGGCTCCTCCGGCGCCGCCCCTGGCGCGCTCCGCGCACCAGGGAGGGAGGTTCAGCGCAGATCCAAGACATGCGCGTGAAGCTCCTGCAGAAGTTAATGTCTATATACCTTCTTCTCCTCCCGATAGAGGATCGACTATTGGTTTACCCCAATATTGTTGTTTCGCCGAATATGCGAAACATGCGTGAACATGTTCACGAGCGTTCTACTTTTTTGTGCATCCGGGGGAAAAGTTTGGATTTTGGGTTAGACCAATTCTGCAGTCGATCCCCCGGTCTTGGCGGAGCTGTAGCCCCTGCGGCAGGCACGTCGAGCACGAGCGATTGGCCTGCCGCCAGGAGCCCCACGACAGTTTCTCACCAGCCGATGGGGCCGCAGGGCCCTGGGGGCACCTTGCGAAGCCCAGAGTCGATAAAGGATGGGCCCCCCAGTCTTCTCATAGCACCGTTTCCTACCGTATAGGTCTACCGCACCCCCCTCGGGGACACATCGAGAGATCCCCACAGATCTTCGCCACAGGCCTGGAGCGGGTGCGGGTCCCAAACCACAGCTCTGCAGCATTCTGAGCCCACTTGGCCAGAGCGTTCGCCGACCGAGAGCCGAAGCATTGGTTTCGAGAGAGGTGAGGGGGCCGAAGGGGGGCGATGGGCCGCAGCTCGAGCCCAGTTCTGGCCCGCTCCGAGGCGAGCGGCTGCTGCGAGCCCCAGCTCCTGGCCCTGCCGAAGGCCAGGGCGGTCACCGCCGCGTCGACGGACCTGCCCTCACCGGTGGACTCCTCGAGGGGCCCGGGCCTGGACACGTGCCGCCACCAGCTCCCCTCCAGCGCGTCGCTGGCGGCCGCACTGCCAGAGCAGGCCCAGAGATCTGATGCACGGCTCCTTCCAATGCGGGGGTTCCCTGGGAGCCGTGGCTCCGCCCCCGGGGCCTGCTCTTCGGCCTCCCTTTTGCCTCTTGACGGCTCCCGGGGCTGGCGAGGCCCCCCCCCCGGGAGGCCGGAAAAGCGACGGGCAGACTCCGTGCCAACATGGGAGGAGGAGGAGGAGGAGGAGGAGGAGGAGGAGGAGGAGGAGGATGAGGAGTTCTTGTGCGTCGGATGTCTGGGGGGGAGGCCCCGGCCGCCGTCGCGCCGCCGTCGCCCGCAAAGGCCCCGCCGAGCCCGGCGGGCGGCGAGGCACTGGCGGGCGCTGCGGGCGAGGCGGGCCCGCCCGGCCCGTGCGCGGAGGCCGGCGCGGCCGGTCCTCAGTCGCCCCAGGCTGCGCGGAGGGGCCGCGGGCGGCCACCAACGAAGCCCGTGGGCTGTCCGCCAGGCGAGGTCGTCTCCCCTCGGGCGCTGACGCAGGCGCTCGGAGGAGGAGGAGGAGGCTGTGCCGATACCGCGACCCGTCCCCCGCCACCACGGCTGGGTTCGTCTCAAAGTCCTGGTCAGAGTTCGCCCCCCGAGGGGTCCGGGGAGTAGCGGTGCTGGTATCTTTCTGCCCCATGCGGCGCAGGCGGCGATGCGCAAGCGGCATTCGCACAAGGTCGCCATGAAGCAAACGGGGCCCTGAGGGAAGCGGGTCCCGAGGTTTCGGGCGCAGTGTTCGGGCTCCCGTTGCCTTCCACGGGCCCTGCGACCGCCAAACGACGGCCCAGGATGAAGAGCTGGTCCCCAGGGAGGCCCCCCATGGTTCAGGGCCCGTGTCCCTCAGGACCCGTGTCCTGCGTGAAAGCCAGGTCACGGTGCACAGCATCGGGAGCGAGGTGGCCAACAGGGTAAGCCACCTCCGCGCGTTCACGCGCCGGAGGAGCAGCGACATGCGGGACGGGAAGATCGTGCTCACCGAGGCGCCGCAGGGGGTGAAGCCCATCTTCGAGAAGGTCCGTGCGCCTCCCCCCTCCGACCACCCAATCGCGTCGTGATGCAGGCGCTGTGCACTGAAGGTGTACAGGGCCTCGGGGCCGTCAAACAGCGACGCAGGATGCAACTGGGGCAGGTGTCGAGAGGTCAGTTAACCGATCGGCATGGGAAAGGTGTCGAGAGGTCAGGAGGGAAGGCCTGGGGGTCGGGGCGTCCCGATAGTCAGTCATCATCTGCCGCGGAAGCCGAGAAGGCGTGGTTGTCCGCAGGTTGGGCCATTGGACACCGCCCCTGCGACGCAGACATCCTTCGCCACGGAAAGCCAGGCACGACATTGGCTTCATCAGTCTGGGCATCTGGAGGCTAGTGTCGGGCTCCAGGACCGTCGTGAATGTTTGGTGCCGAGGATGGGTGGAGAGATCCTGGGGTCCATGCCAATGGAAAACCTATGGCGTCGGATGTTTGGTTCCCGGTCGCTTTCCCCGCCCATCTTACCATCTCATTCTTCCACCTCATCATTTGTCCCGCTGCTCCTCTTCATCATCGCTCCACCCCCCCGATCCCTCTCTTCCCCCCGCCTCCGCATCCTTCCTACTGCTGGTCCTCTTCGCCTTGCTCCTGTTCCAAGGCCCCCGAGGACCTCCCCCCAATAGAGAGTTCGAGGAGCCACCACATGCTCACACCCTCGTCTCCTCCCCCTCCTCCTCCTCCTCCTCCTCCTCCTCCTCCTCCTCCTCCTCCTCCGCGTCCTCTTCCTCCTCCTCCTCCTCCTCCTCCTCCTCCTCCTCCTCCTACTCCTCCTCCTCCCCCCCTCCTCTCTCTCATCTGAACCGCTCATCCTCGTCCCCCTCCCCTCGTTGTTGTTTGCTCCGTGTGGGCACCAGGCAGCCCGCCTCGAGCCCTGGGGCAGCCGCGCCAGAGCGGCCGGGGAGGCAAGAGTGGTCCCCAGGATGGGGCCGAGAGGTCCGGGGGCTCCGTATGAGGTGCACTGAAGCAGTATGAATGTTGGTGAGTTCTGTGACGCGTTGCAGCGATCTTCCTTGCCGTTCCTTCTTCCTCAGTGATTGCGATACCGGCGGTAGGAGGGCCCCCCTCACCGACACCGCTTCCAGTCCAGTCCAGTCCAGTCAGTCCATGGGGTCGAGAGGTCTGGGGGCCCGCCTGACGTCAGTCGTTGATTCGTTCGTCGGCAGCTGGCCCTCGCCGGCGTCTTTCGTCCTCTGGCGCGGCCGGGCTCTGCCCCCCTGGCCGGGCCGGGCCCCCCCGCTGCGCAGAGCCGAAGGGGGGCCCTCCTTCCCTCCCCTGCCCCTCTCGTCCCCATTGCTTTTGTCCTCCTCTCCCTCCCTGTTCTGTATCTGCTCTTCTCTTCTTCCCCTCCCTCCCTCCTCCTCCCCTTCTCGTCCCTCCTCTCGCGTGTCCTCGCCGTCCTCTTCCTCTCTCCACTCTTTCTGGCAAGGTCGTGGGAGCAACCCTCGACGAGATCCAGGCAGCCCTGCTCAGGACGGAGCAGTGCCCCATGGGACGCTTCCTTGATGAGATCCTAGAGTGCTACGACATCGAGCCCGCGGAGTGGAAGACAGACCCTGTCATGGCAGACACCATGTTGCTCAAGCGCCGCTACTCGGCCCCGGTGCCAGACAATGTGCCAGATGCAGTTGCGAGGATCGTGAGGCTTCCACCGGTCATCGGCACCACAACGGTGTATCGTCTTCGGCGCTCGGAGGCAGGCGAGTTGACAATGGTGCAGCAATCCTACATTGGCGATGTGATGTATGGGGACCGGTTCAAAATTCAGAACACCATTTCTTTCAGGGAGGAAGAGGGCGGGGTTGTGTCTCGGCAGTGGGCGGACATTGTCTGGGACCAGCCGCTACCATGGACACACAGCATCATCCGACACTTCATCGAGAAGAGGTCCAAGGCCGATGCCACCCGCTATGCCCCCCAGCTGCTCTGCATGATAGAGGACGCCGTGGAGGCTCTGTAGATCGACGGCTCAGTTCCGCTTCGGGTTGGGGTCATAAGAGCACCGCCCGCTTGAATTGTGGCTTCGCCGTGCGGGCCGCTGCGTCAGCAGCGCTGCACGCAAGCCTTGGTGGTCGAGGCCCGCCCGTGCCAACAAGAGCGCGCAATGTCCTCCTAGACCGAGTGCTCCGGTGCATGGCCGGCCACGCGCGCAGGCCAGCTGGGGCGCAGAGCCTCGAAGGACTTTGACCTTAGTCTCGGTATCGTTTAACCGATCCCCATCCCCACCTCCATCCCCTTCGAGACCCCCACCACATTACCACCCCAGTTGGGGATACACCCTTCAATACCCGAAGAGAACGACCTATATCCCCATCTTGGGGGGTAAATCGGCCAGCGGGGCCCAGGCCACGCCGCTGGGGATGGGGATCGGGTAAACGATACTCATAGTCCACGTGGTGCCCGCACAGGCTGGTCGAGCATCGGGTGGCGGTGATTCTTACAGAGACTGGTTGTAATCACGAGCTGACTCCTGTGGAGCATTCGACACTGGAGCAAGCGTTCCGCACATGTTGGGGCAAAGCCCCTGCTGTTTTACCAGCTGTGGTTGTTTTTTTGGTCGCTAATACCACGCGTCAGCACTGTAATTCGATACTTGGGCGCGCGTTGCGGCACTCGCGGGCTGGGAAGCGCGTGCGCCAGAGATCACGCTGAGGGGCTGAGAGGTCTGTCGTGCCTTCCTCATCAAATCAAGGGCAGCCAAGTTCTCGACTCGGCTCGTCCAGGCGAGTGCTTCTTCCACGTGGGTTCTAGACTTCGCTCGGCTCGACGCTACATGTGCTGCGTCGGCGAACCTGAGGGAATGCGAGCGGAGAGGCGCTGGGGGGGTGGGCCGGGCCAGAGGGAGGGGAGATGCCGTGCCGTCTTGCTGGTGCCGGCCTCGCGCAGCACCTGGTTTGCGGTCGGTGACCGGGCCAGGGGGGGAGGAGGAGGAGGAGGAGGAGGAGGAGGAGGAGGAGGAGGAGGAGGAGAGGAGGAGGAGGAGGAGGAGGAGGAGGAGGAGGAGGAGGAGGAGGAGGAGGAGGAGGAGGAAGGAGGAGGAGGAGGAGGAGGAGGAGGAGAGGGGGGGGGATTGGGGACATGCAGAGGGCACCACCGCCGTATTGGCGGCCATTGATGGCCATCTGGCTCTCTGGTCGGATGGGGGCTGGTGGGCGCAGCGGCAGCTCGACGTCCGGAGGCCCATATTGGATCCCTGGAGCGTGGTGTGTGGCCATGGCCCTGGAGGAGGAGGAGGAGGAGGAGGAGGAGGAGGAGGAGGAGGAGGAGGAGGAGGAGGAGGAGGAGGAGGAGGAGGGAGGAGGAGGAGGGGGAGGAGGAGGAGGGGAGGAGGAGGTGGAGGAGGAGGAGGAGGAGGAGGAGGAGGAGGAGGTGGAGGTGGAGGTGGAGGTGGAGGTGGAGGTGGAGGTGGAGGTGGAGGTGGATCAGCAGGTGGAGGTGAGAAACCAGCCACACCCATGATGTCGTCAGCCTCACCTTTCGACCAACTGCTGGTGGCGTGTCTCGGCGGGACGCAAAGAGGATCACGAGGAGAGGGGGCGCCAGGGGTACAGGTCGGAGGAGGAGAAGATGGGGCAACGGGGCGGGGAGGAGGGGGGGGAGGGAGGAGGGCGGGGGCGGCAGGAGAAGACGGGACAGCGCAGTCATGCAGAGCCCGATCACGACGTGCCGCTCTGCTCCGCAAGACATGCCGCCTTTCCTTCTCGCATATCCCCCTCCCCCTCCTGCTCCCCTTCCCTCCTAGGAAACAGTTCAGAGTCCTGAGCCCATATACAACCACAGCCGGTAGACAACAACATACAAGCCTTCCCCTTGATATCCTGACTTGTTGTATCCGCTCCTACCGTATAACTCATTGTGGGGTTGGGTGGGTGTGTTTGACATTTGTTGTCCGGGGCCCTATCATGGGTAAAGCATGTTGAGCGGAATCGGATGGGTGAAGCATTTTTTGTTTTCGGGCGTAGCCCGATTTTTTTGTCTCGCGAGGTGTACTCGACTGACTGACGGACTTTTGGTCCTACCCGTCAGGGGGCCGTTGTTTTTTCGGCCGCCGAGTGTTCAACCCATGGCGCAACCAAAAGCAAGCAGTTTCATGATCGGCCGCCGAGGGCGCGTTCTGTGCCGCAACCAGTGCCAGGTCGTTCTGCTCTCGGCCGCCGAGTGCGCCGCTCATGGCGCGAACAATAGAAGGCCGTTGAAGCCTCGGCCGCCGAGTGCGCAACCCGCATCCAAGACCGAGCGTTTGCTCATGCTTGTCCGCCGGATGCGCAGAGTTTGGCGCGACCAACAGCGGGTCGGTTCAGCGTCGGCCGTCAAGCGTGCGACCTGTGGCGCAACCACTATCGGGTGTTTTGGCCCGGTTGCTGCTGCAGTCCCCGCCGGCAGGGCTGACCGCGTCAGCCCCTCAGGGATGTGACCCGTCCGCCCTGAGTGGCCCTCGCCTGCCCCCCCCCCCGCCCTGCGGCGCCCGTCCTGTCCCGTTTTCCCGCTCTTGCATGCCGGCCAATTCGCAACAACGGCGCCCCCGTTTAGTTAGATCCTTCCGCCAGCGCAGACGACCCCTGCTTAGCCGCCGACGCAAGAAGTTGTTCTTCTCGGCCGCCGAATGCACAACCTCTGGTGCAACCAGTAGCGACGTTCTTACGTTCGGCAGCTGAGGGCGCACCAGTTGGCGTTTTTTTGTTATTGTTTGCCGCCGAGTTTGCAATTTATGGCGCAGCCCTTGAGTGGAGAATGGCGCAAGCCATGGATCGCGCAACTGATGGCGGAACCCGTGGATCGCACAATTTGTGAATTGTGAAGTCATGGCGCAAGACACGGGTAACGCTGTTCATGAAAGTACACATGGATGACGCAACCTGTGTATGGCGCAATCCATGGCGCGCCACATGTGTTGCACACGCGCGCGCTCGCACGCACGCACGCACACGCACACGCACACATTTGCTTTGGCAGGTTCTGCATGGCTGCGCCCGATTGTTGTTCGCCGTTTGGGATGGCGTTGGGGCCCAAGCGACGAGTTGCCGTGCGATGTCAATGTATGGGCATTGTAGCTGCAGTTTCTAGTTGTATGTGGGTTCCAACATATTCGCATGTCTACGTGATTTATTGGCGCCCGTACCTTTTATCCCTCTTATCGCATTTGGGTTTTTTTTTCGGAGTCAATGTTTTCGCGTGGGTGTTATGATGGCTCTGGCTTGTTTGACATTGTGTTAGCTTGTTTGGTCTTGATGTGTCGTAATCGTTAGCATGAGGACATGATCAGGTTATTTGCGTTGACAATATCAGGTTCTTGGGTACTGGATTTGATTAGTTACGTGGCTGTTTGATCGCCATGCTGGTTATATGGCGTGGCATGTTCACTGCGACTTGTTTGTTGCGTTGGCTTGCTTTTACCATGTGCAATCGGGTTCATATACATTCGATAACGAATGTGCCTGAGATGCTTTTTTTTGGTGACCATGTCCATACAACGATTCGGTTGTAGTGGTTTGAGTTGTACCCAGTAGTGTTTTGACATGTGCTTACCCCTGCCATCCTGTGTTGTTAGGTCCTTGTTTTGAAGAGGCAACGCCCCGCGCTCCTCCGCCTCCTCGTTTTACTCCTCGCCCCCCTCCTTCCACCACATGCGTCCGCGTCACCCAGTGCAGCGCTTCGTGGTACCATGGGGAGCTCCACCGAAGGTCAAAAGTTGCTGTGATCACATGGGTCCTCGAACGGGAACACAGCGCTTTCAGTGGCCCCAGTTGCTGCGACCACATGCTTCCGCGATGCAGCGTATGGTGGCCGCAGACGGAGCTCCACCGAAGGCCCCAGTGGCTGTGACCAAATGCGTCCACGCACAAAAATACAGCGTTCCGTGGCCCCATAGAGAGCTCCGCCGGAGGCCCCAGCGGCTGTGACCACATGCGTCCGCGCCACCCAATACAGCGTTTCGTGGCCCCACAGGGAGCTCCACCGAAGGCCCCATTGGCTGTGACCACATGCGCCCGCGCCGCCAGGTACAACGTTCCGTGACCCCATAGGGAGCCCCACCGAAGGCCCCAGAGGTTGTGACCACATGTGTCCACGCACCAAAATACAGCGTTCCGTGGCCCATAGGGAGCCCCACCGAAGGCTCCAGTGGCTGTGACCACATGCGTCCGCGCCATCGAGTACAGCGTGTCGTGGCCCATCGGGAGCTTCACCGAAGGCTCAGGTGGCTGTGACCACCTGCGTCCGCGCACCAGAATACAGCGTGTTGTGGCCCCATCGGGAGCTCCACCGAAGGTCAACAGTGGCTGTGACCACATGAGTCCTCGAACGGGAATACAGCGCTTCGTGACCCCATAGGGAGCTCCACCGAAGGCCCGAGTGGCTTTGACCAAATGCGCCCGCGCTCGTGGCCCCATAGGGAGCTCCACTGGAGGCCCGAGTGGCTGTGACCACATGCGTCCGCGCACGAGAAGATAGCGTTTGGTGGACCCATATAGGGAGCCCCACCGAAGGTTCTGGTGGCTGTGACCACATGCGTACGCGCCCCCACTCCCTCCCAGGCGCTCCCATGTGATCTCGGGCGCTTCCATGCACAGCCAAGCGCTCCCTGGCGTTCCCAGACGCACCCGGCGCTTCAAGCGCTCCGAGGCGCTCCCCGGGCGCCCCCAAGCTCTCCCAGGCGCTCCCATACGGTCTCGGGCGTTCCCAAGGCGCTCCCAATCGCGAGCCGCTCCCAAGTGTTCCCAGGCGCTCTCCAGGCGCTCCCACAGGCCCTCCCACAAGCGCTCCCAGGCGCTCCCGGGCGCCCACATGCGCTCCCAAGCGCTCCCAGGCGCGCCCAGCTTCCCAGCCGTTCCCAGGCATTCCCAGTCGCTCCCAAGCGCTTCCCCGCCGCTCCCAGGCGCTCCCAGGCGTTCCCACGCGTTCCCGAGCGCTCCCCGGCGCTCCCAAGCGCTCCCAGGAGCTCCCAGGGTCTCGCAGGTAGTCCCCAGGCGCTCCCACGCGCTCCCAAGCCTCGGGGGGCTTCCTGAGCCTCTTGGGGGCCGCTCGGAGGCCTGTTGGGGGCCTCTCGCGTGCCTCTTGGAGGGCTTTTGCTGGCCTCTTGGAGCGCTCTTTGGGCCCTCTTGGGAGCCTCGTGGGAGTCCTGGGTCCTCGATGTCACTGACCGAAAAAGGAGCCTCCGACACCTCGCGACCCCATCAAAAAGAAGCCCATGGAGAGGAGGGGGAGGGTTCCCTCCCCGGAGGGAAGAGGGGTTGTGGAAGAGGAAAGAAACCCTCCTCAGACCACCTGTCGCCCAGAGGGCTGGTGGGATCTCCTTGCCCTTAGGCGGCCGAAGGTATCGTGCATCGCATCCGAATGCTAATCCCAACCCCGTCCTCCCAACACGAGAAGTGTTTTCCTCGCATCCTCGCCAGCGCACATTTTTTATGTCCGTCATGGTCCTTCTCTTCTCCTCTCATCCTCTTCTCCTCTCCTGCCCCCTCCGAGTGGTCCATGGTGCTCGTCAGGGTGCGGGGGCATGTCTGGGAGAGCCGCCGAGGCGGAGTATCCCGTCGTCGACCAGCTGGACGCGAGGGCTGATATCAGGGGGTGCCTTGTTGTTTCTCTTTCTGTTTTGTTCTTCTGGGCGATTTCGCAGCCCCTGGTCGCTTCCCCACGCTGTGCTGCGCGACTCCGCTTCGGCTGCCGCTCACTCAATGTGCGCTGGCTGCCGCCTTTCTTGCCTCTGCCAGCGTCTCTTCCCATCAGGGGGCATCTGAGGGGTCAACTGAGCGGCGCAGAAAAACGGGGTCGTCTGCGCCGACATTGGCACGTAAGCTGCCCGCGTGAGGCCGCGCGTAAGCGCCCTCGTCTCCGATGCAGCGTGCCGTGCTAGTGGCCCGCGTAAGCCGCCGCCTTAAGATCGCTGTGCCATCTCGCGTAAGACCCGCTGTTGAGCGTCGCTCGAATGAGGCAGACTGCCGGGCTCCCGCCGAGTCTTCCACTGGTGCAGCAGAAGGACAACCACAGAAAGACTTTTCAAGTTGTGGGCGTCTGGGGGCCGGTGCCGATTCTTGGGGCCGTGGAGAAGGCCCCGTGGCATCAGACTCGTCCGTGGCATGGGGTCGAGAGTTCCAGGGCCCATGTCACGCATGACGCCGAGTGTCGAGATCTGGAGGGTCACGGACCCCACTGCCACGGGCCAAGTGAAACCCCTCAGCAAGAGGCCGTCAGGACGACAGCGTCAGGCTCCAGGCGCCTCAGTGGGAAGCCACGGAGGCCAGCCTGGCGTTGGAAAGACGGCCCGAGCCCAGCTCTCGTGCACACTCGAGTGCTGGCCCCGCCCCTGCGAGACCTCTCGTCGAGCCTCTGCGGCCGCTCCCCCCTGCCCTTCCCAGGAGGGGCAGCCTCGCCTCCCGGCCCCTCCGCCCGGGCCGCCCTCGCCTTGTCCTCAGAAGCCGTGGCATCGCCGGCCCCCTCGGGGCAGCCCCGCGCCGGGCAAGAACGCCCGGTGCGGACAACGACTGCGGCGCGCGGCCGGACGGCAAGGGGGGGAGTCAATCAAGCAGTGGCGAAGCGTCTTGGCGTGCCCATAGTCCTACCACACAATGTTCTAATAACCTTGTGTGGGTCCCACGAAATGTTCTCAGAACATTTCTTGCTTGGGCTGTCTTGTTTGAACACATCGGGCTCATGTTCTAAGAACCTTGTATTTTGTTTTTAGAACATTGTTGGGTTCTAAGAACATTTCGTGGTAGGACTACAGGAATGCCGGGACGGTCGGTCCCTGCTCAGGTCAAGGGGTTGGCGAGTCAGCTCACGCAGCTGGCTTTCCCGGCGCTGGAGTCGGCCGCGCATCGGGAAAGCACCCGGAGGTGGAGCCAAGATCCGTTGCGCGCAGGAGTTTCCGTGGCTCCCCAGCGCCGCTCCCGACATCGGGCCCGAGAAGCGCGGCCCCCCCCCCCCCCCCCCCTGTCAGTCGGGCATGGAGAGAGCGCCCGCCCAGACAAGTCGACTGAGGAAGTATGCACGGTGTACGAGTGCGCCGGTGCGGTCCCCGGGCGGTTTCTCTAATTGACGCGTGCGGCGTACTACCAGATGCATTCGGGTGTTTCTGGACGTCAACAGGTGATTCCGCCCGGGTGCACTCGCAATGCGGTGTTGTGCGCGCCGGTGGCCTGCCCCAGAAGCTTTCGCCAAAGTGCTCCATAAGCGTTGCGTGGGATCGCGTGGGGGGGTGGAGTGAACCTTTCCTTCGCTGGGCGTTGGAGGGTGGGATCGCATGCGGGGGCGGCTTCGTCGCGCGTGAGGGGCCTGGACCGGGCCGCCAGGTTGAGTGGCAGGGGGAGGGTGCTCATAGAACGAGCTCTGGAGGAGGAGGAGGAGGATGAGGAGGAGGAGGAGGAGAAGGAGGAGGAGGAGGGAGGAGGAGGAGGAGGAGGAGGAGGAGGAGGCGGAGGAGGAGGAGAGGAGGAGGAGGAGGAGGAGGAGTATCTGTCAGCCCTCGACCCGGGGTCGGTGCTGCGGCTGCCGCCCCCTGCAGGACTGCCTGCGGGAGCTGCGCGAGGCGCTGGCCGCCCGGGCCCCCGCCCCAGAGGCCCCCTCGGCGGCAGCCGCTGCAGGGCGCCCGCCGGCCGCCGCCGCGGCCGCGGCGCCGCGCGCGGCTCCTCGGGCCGACGCGGGCGACCGGCAAGATGCGCGCGCGCGCCGCGCGGTGCGCCCAGACGTCCGAAGGTTCGGTTTTTCCATGAGGGCAAGCAAGACGTGGTTCGTTCGCGGGTGCGGAGGGTCAGGAGGATCGGAGGGGTCCGAAGATCGTCCGAAGGACCAGGAGCAGAGCGGCACGAGCAGAAACGTTCGACGGTGCGCGCGGATTCCTCGGATTCGCTCTGGACTCCCCTGGCGGCGCCTCTGGCGCCGCCCTAGGCGCGCTCCGCGCGCCCTGGAGGGAGTCTAGCGCAGATCCAAGAAAATCGCGCGGACCGTCGTAAGTGTATATTTATGCAATGTGTTCTTTTTCTATTTCGTCAATCCCGTCGTTTCCCTTCAGTTTCTGTCGTTGCTTTCCGAGTTTCTCGGTCTCCCGTTGCCAGTTTTGGGCCCAGGGATGCTGAATCTCGGACGTCGTGGCTGCTGTTACCCTACAGCCCCTCTGAGGTCCCGCGGGGTCCGGGCGACTTGTGGGGATCCCGCGCGTGCGCCGCGCGCAGCTGCGGGCTGCCTTGTGGCACTGGGCTCTCGCGCTCCGGGCGGCCTTCGTGCGGCGCGGTGGCCTGGGCCTGCGCGGCCTGTGGTCGGGCCAGGTGCCACGGGCACGAGCACCCGCTCGGCGTCCAGGCAGAGGCGTGGGTACAGGGTCCCTGTTGAATACGGAACACTTACTATTCAAAAGGGGCTCGGTCGTTCCTTTGGTTTGCAAGCGTTCCGCTACTTTTTTTGGCGGCGAGCCCCCCTGGTGTCCCTTCGGACTTCGTAGACGCGCTTGGAAGAAAAGGGGCTTCGTCCCTGATTTGTCCTTCTTTAGGCCAGGCCGAAGACCGTAGTTGTGCAGCGTCCCCGTTTGGGGGGGGCGGGCCCTGACGTGGCGGGGCCCGCCCGCCTTCGGAGAGCCGCGCCTCGCCGGGTGCGGGGGCTGCTGCGAGGACCCCGAGGCAGTGGTGAGGCGTCGACGTGGCGGTGCTGAGCCCACCTCGAAGGGTTCGGTTTCCCGCGGCCCTCTCCTGGCTGTAGGGCTCTCCCAGCCTAGGGCGGTGGCCACAGACGGGCCCTCTGATGGCCAAGCAGCCTGGACACCGCGTTGAAAACACACCGCAATGTCGGAAGCCACAGTGTTGATGACGCTCACCATGACCCCGCGCGATGACTCGCGGTATTGCCAGGGCAGGCCTGCACCTTCAGCGTCTTGAAACGGCCAAGACAGGATGCTGTTCGCCGTTGTTGGTGCCTTGGGCTCCGCGACCGTGCAAATTCGACGCACATCTTCTCTGGCGTCTTACGCGTCTGAGCAGGAACGAGTCTCAGTCTGAGTGTGGGTGAGACTGGACTTGAGCGACTGAGTACCCGTGAGTCTCAGTTTGGGCGAGTCTGAGAGTGAGTGGCTAAATACAAGCGGACACCTGGCCGCAACAGAAGATTCCTCGAACGCGGGAGTTCCACCAGCAGTCGACCCAAACTCTGCCAAAGTCGGGGAGCTGGCTCGAAGCTTTCTCTTGTAATTTGCCAGACGCTCGAGGCCCTGGACGTCGTCCAGGGCGATGCCGGCACAGAGCCTCTGGCTGAATTGGTGCAGCTTCTCTGGAACATACTCCTGGGGACCGATCTCGACTTTGAAGGGCTTATCAAAGAACGACTGCGCGAACTCCGTCTTTCAAGGGAGGAAATGCCACCCGGAACGGACAATTGGCGTTTGCTGGACGGCCCTGGGCGTTTATTAAACAGCCCTGCCCTGCTTGATTCCTTCTTTGGGTGCGTTTACCAGACGGCTTCGCGTGCTGGGGTGGTTACTGTCGGGGTGGATGCTCTGCCCGCTAGTCTTGCCAGGGTGTGGAGGTGCCATCATCAATAGCATGGGGTACCTCATATCCTCCTGCTTGAATAGCTTTAGCCCTGCCCGCGCCTCTTGACACTTCCTGGAAGAGGTAGAGGAGAGCGGGGTCTGCTTGCAAACGCTCCCCCCCGCTTCCGGCCCCGCGCAGCTGGGCCCTCCCCCTCCGCCCGCCCTCCTCCTTCCTCCGCCCCCCCGATCCCCCTCCGACCCCGCTCACCTCGGCCCTTCCCCCCTCGCCACCGCGCTTCCCAGGAGGCTCGGCGGTGCCCCGGGGCGCGCGCGGGCGGCCGCCCCCCCCCCCCCCCGGCGGGCCGCGCGGGCCCGCCCGCAGGATGGAGCCGGCCGAGAAGCGGCAGCGCCACGTCGGCGAGGTTCCCGCGCGGCTGCCGTGAAGCAAGGGGGTCCTGAGGGAGGCGGATCGGCCACGCGCAGAGGGGGGGAGGGGGGAGGGGGGAGGGCGTCTTGGTCAGAAGCACCTCCGCTTCGTAGAAGGCGGGGGCTTTCTCTGTAGATGTGAGGCCGGCGCCTTCTAAGAAGCAGCCTCCTTCTAAGAAGCCCTTCCCCCCTCCCTCCACCCCCTTGTGCAAGCCGCCAAGTGGAGGTGAGCAGCTGTGGCCGCGCCGTTTGTCCCGACGCGCGGCCATGTGTCTTGGGGAGGGCGCCGCGGGCTCCAGGACTCCAGGGCAAACGCCGCTCCGGACGCGGTGGTTTCGCCGTGGCGTTTTGTCGCGGTGCCGGGGTCGTCTTCTCGGGGCACGGGGTGCAGGATTTGCCGTGGTGTCGGCATCGTCCACTTGGGCGCGTCGAGACCAAACGGCGCGGCGACATCTGGGCCCCCCGGGTGGAGGCGGAGTTGATGGGAGGCGCCCATGAGTTGCCGCAGAAGGCTCGTGCAGGTCGGGCCCACGGCTCCCCAGGCCTTGTTGACCACTTATGAATCGACCGCGTACGCGCTCTTACATCGAAAAAGATTTGGAAACACAATTCTGTGCGTGGAATTCATGGCGACGGCGGTGCTCTCACCGTTGTTGTGTGATTGCTTCCGTCTAGCGTAGCCGCAGACCATAACGGTGGCGCCGTTGGTGCCCTTCCTAACATCGCAGACGAGTTTGATACAGGTAGGTTTGGCAGAGACTTCCCGTGGCGGGGGCCACGCCAGCCCAGTGGCGTTGCCGTCGTATAATTTTGGCGGCTTGGTCGTGGATTGGCAAATTCTGTGCCCCCATTGAGCTTGTATCTCCGATTGGACCTGGTTAGTGTGGGAGAGCGCCTTGTGCGCGACCATGCTGCACGCATTATCTGCGATGCCTCCCTGCGCGCGCGGAGCGCCGCCGAGGGGCGAGGGGCCTGCGATGTAAAGCTTTTCGGGGTTTGGCGGCGCTCTCGTTTAACGCATTTAGGACATTCGCAGATCCCAGCGATTCACTTGGCGATGAAATGGGCGTCGGTGCCAACGGCGTTTCCTTGCGCTGGCGTCTTCGCCGCGACGGGTCGACCCAGCCCGTCGGGGAGTTGCCGCGGCCTGTGCATTCAATACCAAAGGTCCGCGCTACAGCGCGCGTTTTTTGAATTAGCTCAGTGATCCAACGTTCTAGGCGTGCAATGATTGTGTCCGTTTGGCTCAAACAGAAATATCATGCATCATCCCATCCGGACCCATCATGGTTCATCATCATTTCCAGCCCTCTCTTGTCAATCCGACTTGCTCCCTCATTCCTTGTTTTCGTTTATCATTGTCCTTACCCTCATCCCTCTATATTATCCGTTCCCCTCCCTCGCCCTGGCCAATTGCTCCAGGGTCCGAAGTGACCGAGGGTTGCAGCGGCGACGCCTTCCCCCGTGTGAATGCGAAGTAGGGGGTCGTCACTTTCTCTGTCGTCGCCACGTCGATGTTTAAACTGCCATCGTCACTGCGATTGCCGTTATAATTCGCATAGCTGTTTCAGGTTGGCAGACGCAGGTGCGCAGGCATTGTGATTTACTGCTCCAGTAACACCCAGCAGGGAAACAACCACCGATGGCCGCTCAGTCGAAGATGCGCGTCAAAAAGGGGGACTCCAGGGTCACCAAGGACGGCAAGGTCGTTGACAAGGCGGCCCTCACTCGTGCTCGGAAGTCTCTTTCGCAGACAGATAAAATCGCATTGCAATGGATCAACGACTACTTGGCCACCCACCGCGCGCAGATATTGCAGACCATGGCCAACCTTGAGTCTGGCCAGGTCGACTGCCAGGTTGAAGACCAGCAGCTTGACATAAAAGATCGTCCGTACTTCCCCGATTCGTACATGCACTTCGGGCAGTTGCCGGCTTGGTGGTGTGCGGACTTCCTGCACGAATGGTTGGGGTACCCCCAGTCGCTTTTGGACAAAATGGACGTGGCCAACACGGTGAAACCTACCTTCACGTACATCACGGGGCTGGGCGACGGCCAGTATTGGCCGAGGCCGTGCTTGCAGAAGCGGGTGCTGTACCTTTTCGCCATCGCGATGGCGGAGAAAATGGGCAACCGGCAGGAGCAGTTCAAGGCAAAGATCGGCCAGGATGGCTCCGTGGATTTCGTGAAGCACGGCCCCTTCGAGTACTTTTTCGGTGCCGCGGTCGGGGAGGCGGAGCCTGTGCTCGAGCGGATCGTGCACAAGGGCACTTCGATCGAGGCGCGATCCCGCCGAGCCTGCCTGCCCGCATTTTGAATATTTCTGTCGTTGCTCGGGGGGCCGCCCCATTATCGAATAGGGGGAGGGGGTACTCATGCGCCACATCTTGTCCTGCGCCCTCTTGCATTGGCGTTATTTTTGCGCCAGATCCTTATTCTCCGCGGGGTGTTCGCAACCCCAGCCGGCCTCGTTCAATCTGCCCCTGGGGTTTTGCTTGTCCTCCTCCCCCATGCCTTGCCCTCTTGCCGACCCCCTGCATGCCGTCTGACGTCCTTTTCAAAACAGGTTCGGCGGGTTCCCGAGTCTCGGCGCAGGCGAAGAACCTCCCCCTCCGCATCGACAAGGGTTTCAAATGCACTTCGCCGTGGAGCGATGCAAATGCTAAGTTCGTCGGCACCACCAGGTGGAAACCTTGCGTTCACGAGCTCTTCAATGACCCCCCGTTCATGGCGCATCTCGACAAGAAGGTGCTGTCGACTTTGGCGGACACTGTGGTGTCTGCCAACGCAGCACTCCTCACCCCGAAGAAGAAGACAGTGGTCTTGAGCTCCAAATCGGCGGCCAAGGCCGCGAAGGCGAAGGCGGTCGCCAAAGCGCGCGTTCCGCTTGCTAAACTTGCGGTCCCGTTCTCTGCGTGATTTCGCGGTGTGCGCGCACGGCCGCGCGAGAGCTTGCCTGCGCGTGCCGTTGCCGAGCCGACTTTAACGGCTGTTTTTCGGGTGCAGGTCAGCCTGCAAACTATTCGGGGGTAAGTGGGGGCTCTCTATGCTAGAGCCTTCATTTGTTCGGCTTCGCAATGCAAATTGTACGCACTACGTGTTGGCTTAGTGCCTGTGGGAGGCCGGGCTCAGATCGCAGGGGACCTTTTGAACGCTACGTCAGACCAAACAGGGAAAAACTCGATCGTCCTCATCGTGATCACCATCCTGCTAGTCATCACCACCCCTTCTCCGCATGAAATAGTAGCCAGGGGACGTGCGATTTATCTTCCGACGGAGTTTCTCCGACGCGAGCCCACATTTCCCGTTAATCCCTCCTCCCCTCCCCGTTAATCCCTTCTCGCATGGTGTCCCCATTCCCCCCAAGAGGTTCTTCCCCGCTTCCTCCCCTAGCGAACGGTGGCGGCGGCGAGCCATAATGCGGTTATGAGGATGGTCGCGAGGGCAGGTTTGAGGACGACGATCGCCTACGATACTGAGGACTATTACGATAACGACGGCGACGACTACGAAGAAGAAGAAATCAACGGCGAGGGCGAGTGCAACAACATTGACGAGGACGTTGTGGGGGCGACGACGAGCGTGAGGAAAGCGAATACGCTCTGCGGCGAGCCCCGCGCCAGCCCCGTGAGAGCCCCGTGCAAATCTGATGCGAGCCCCACGCGAGCTTCGCGCGACCCCCACGGGAGCCCCGCGCGAGTCCCACGCGAGCCCCACGCGAGCCCCACGGGAGCCCCACGCGAGCCCCACGGGAGCCCCACGCGAGCTTCACGCGAGTTCCCGACTCCACTCTCTCTCACGACCAGATATACCCACCGGAATTCCTAAACGACAGTGCCGTGGCAATCTAAACGGTCGCCGCCTTGTGCGGCCGACGCGAATCGACCAACCCCCTTGGCCCATAAACGTGAGCTTCAAAACTCCCATCCCCCTGCCAACGCTCTCCCGACAGCTCGCTCCCATCTCCCCCTTCGGGCCCGCGTGGCTACGTGGAGTGTTATCTCTCTCGGGGTATGTTATTCGTGCGTGGCGCGAGGCATCAGGGTAAAGGGTGAGCACGCGGGTACCCTTGGCAAACTAGAACCCAACCAGGGGACTGGGCATTGCAGGCGAAAACGGACAATAGCCCCGGGCTCGGGCAGGGGGGGGGAAATAGAAGAGCGGAGAGGGCGGGGGGAACAGGGGATTTAGCATTTCCCACTTCATGGCCGTAAGCTCTGCTGAATGGCCCTCGGTATCGGAGTCGAAGTTGCGACCCGCTGGCGTTTGAGCTTTCGCTTGAGCGTGATACTCCGCGCCCTCCCTCACTCTTCCCCGCGCCGTTCTACGCTGTCCCTTGTCTCTCCTCATCCTGCCCCTGCCCCTTCAGTCCTTCCTACTTTTTTCTTCGCCCTCCTCCTCCTCCTCCTCCCCCCTTCTCTCCCTTCCCTCTGCTTCCCCGCTCGCGTATCATTTACTTTCCCCCTCTTCCTCGTTTCCCTCTCGTCGCCAACCCCTGCCCTTCCTCCGGACCAGTAGTGGGCGAGTGGGCGGCCAGCGCAGTGAATCGTATCTGTTTGACACCTGGGGGGCGGGGGTAGTTCGCATGTCAGTCATGCCATGGTACAGGCGCGGGTGCATGCCACATCAAGTGGCGGAGCAACTCAACAGCTTGGATTGCCCAAGTCATGGGCAATGGAATTCCGCAGCCCATTGATCAGTTAAGCCGTCGGGGTCCGCAGGACCAGTACACGCATTACCTGTTGAGCCCCCCTGTCCATCGCATCTGCGCCGCAATCGCTGCGACGGGGTCTCTCGTTTCGTTGGAGTCGCGCCAGCGCCACCGGGAGCACCCTCTCAATTGTTGTTATTGTTGTTGCAATCACCGTTCCGCTCCCGCGGCCACGACGTCGCCATCGATGCAGATGTGTTCGGGCATGGAGCCATGTCGGCCTGAACCTTCTGAGGGCGCGGACCGCACGGCTTCTCTGCCAGTGCCCTCGTAGCGGGGGGGAGG